CCCATTCCCCTCCCCACCCCCAACATTGCCTGCCATACCCTTGAGAAACCATTAATCCACTGTCTCTAGATTTACCTATCCTGGATTTCATACACTGGAAAACATACCCAAAACAACAGCAATAACCACTACAACAAAACTGTCGCAACAATAACAAAATCAAACAGGGAAAACCCTCCATTGAAAAGATAGTGGGAAGCTGATGTCAGGGGTCAAGTAGAAAGAAAATGTTTATAAAAAGATGATGGCAACATATATACAGATGTTTTTGACAAAATGGATATATGTGTGGATTGTGATAAGAGCTGTAAGAGCCCCCAATAGAATAAAATTAAAAAAGAAAAAAGAAAATGATGATGGCAACATATGTACAAATATGCTGGAAACAATTGATGCATGGAATGTTGTAAGAGCTGTGAGAGCCCCCAATAAAATTATATTTTAAAAAAAGAAAGTGGAAAACATGAAAAACTAGAACAACATTAAAGTGGGACAAAAGGGAGGTCAAATGATAAGGTATTACATTTTAACCTAACTGCGTCTGCATTAATCCACTTCACAATGCATTCTGCATGATAGCAAGGCTGTTCACATCCCTGGTCTGTGATCAAAGGGGATTCACCAAAGGTTTAACCCACGTGTATTTCCACCTCACCTTGATTTTTTAACTGAAATAACTTTTCAATGGGTCAAAAGAAAGATGGAATAAAATAATACCTTTTAGCCTAACTAAATCTACCACGATCGACTTCACAGTGCTCTCTGTCTGATGATAAGGCTATTCACAAACTTCAACTATGGTCAGAGGGGATTCACCAGAGGCTTAATTTATCTATCTGTGGCCCCTGCAGATGGATTTGGGGTTTATAGTTTAAAAAATTAATAGAAATTTGTAACATTTTCCTTATGCTTAGAACACGCTACAAGATTAGAGACACCACGCTCAAACACCAGTTTTTAAAAAAAATCATTTTATTGGGGTCTCCTACAATTCTTATCACAATCCATACATACATCCATTGTATCAAGCACATTTGTACATTTGTTGCCATCATCATTCTCAGCTCCTCATTTTCCCCTTCTTCCCCACTCCCCCCTCCCTCACGAGCCCTTGTTTATACATCATTATTATTTTGTCATATCTTACACTGTCCGATGTCTCCCTTCACCCACTTTTCTGTTGTCTGTCCCCCAGGGAGGAGGCTATATGTAGATCCTTGCAATCGGTTCCCCATTTCTGCCCCACCTTCCCTCCACCCTCCAGGTATTGCCACTCTCACCACCGGTCCTGAAGGGATCATCTGTCCTGGATTCCCTGTGTTCCCAGTTCCTATCTGTACCAGTGTACATCCTCTGGTCTAGCCAGACTTGTAAGGTAGAATTGGGATCATGATAGTGGGGGCGGGGAGGAAGCATTTAAGAAGTAGAGGAAAGTTGTATTTTTCATCGTTGCTACCCTGCAAACTGACTGGCTTGTCTCCTCCCCGCCACCCTTCAGTAAGGGAGTAAACACCAGTGTTACAGGTTTTAGTTGGTAGATGTAGCACTTCAGGTGGGTCTACTACCCTACCCTCACCTCTCCCCCCCCCCCCCCCACCAAGCCTTGCTTGCTTGCAGACAATGTTACTAACCCCAGAACAACCTCACTATACTGTTTAGCATTCTGTGGCCCTAGCCAGCTGTGATACAGGGACAAGGGTGCCCATTCCTCGTGTGATATGAGACTGAGCAAACAAAGCAAACACACCATGCCCGGCACATCAACACCTTTGTCTTAACCACAGGAAAGCCACAGTGTTTATGTTGTCATCCCCTTAGCCCCTTCAGTGTAAGGTGGCAGCGAGCTCCAGCCCCCAGTGCCCTTGAGCCCCATACAATGAAACGTTGTCCAGGCCGTAGCCACCTTCAGTATTGTCCGAGTCCCTTGATGTGGCTCTTGTGTCACTACATCCTACTGAGGGGGTCTATTCTTTTGCTGACCCCCTACACTACCTAGTGCTCTCCTAGTGTCCACGTCTCCCCTTCCTTAGCTCCAGGGAGAGTGCGGGGAGGACTTCCCCTAAGCCTGCTCATTCCTTGGTAAAGATTGACAGCTCACCGTTCCACCACACGCAGCAGGGCTAACTCTACTTGTGTTTTGCTTTCAGGGAAAGTCCTGGTCAGTAGCGAAATGGGCATCAGCCGGTCGGCCGTGCTGGTGGTGGCCTATTTGATGATCTTCCACAACATGGCCATCTTGGAGGCCTTGATGACCGTGCGCAAGAAGCGGGCCATCTACCCCAACGACGGCTTCCTGAAGCAGCTCCGAGAGCTCAACGAGACGCTGATGGAGGAGAGAGAAGAGGACGAAGGCGCCGAGGAGGATGGAGATGAGGACCAGGGGAGCACGCTGGGGGCCAGAGTGCACGCCCTCACCGTGGAGGAGGAAGACGACGCTGCCAGCCACTTGAGTGGCTCTTCCTTGGGGCGGGCGAGCCAGGCCCCCAGGCGCGCCACCCTGATAAAGGATGAGGAGGGGGAGGAGGAGGGGGAAGAGGAGGAGAGGCTATACGGGGACTGGAAGAAGGAGCAAGGCGCCCCCAGGGGTAAGGTCCCCCAGGCGAGAGAGGGCCTGCGCTCGGCCTCCTCTGGCCGGGGCGGGGAGGGGCCTGAGGATGAGGACGTGGACAGCATCATCCGGGACTGGCAGAGCCGCAATGAGCGGTACCAGGCGGCGCAGCACCACAGCTGGGCCCGGGGGGAGGAGGAGGAGGAGGAAGAGGAAGAGGCGAGCGAGGCTGGGTCCTCCGTGGGGCGGAGGCGGAGACTGAGGCGGAGGCACACGCTGAGCTCGAGCAGCTGGGCTGAGAGCGCGAGCAGCTGGGACGTCCGAGTCCTGCAGCAGCAGCTGGAGCGCGGCGGGAGCAGCGGGCGGCCGCGCTCCGCCTCGACGTCCACGGGGAGCACGTGGGACACGTGGAACGAGAGGCTGCTGGAGATCGAGGAGGAGGCGGCCCGGGAGTTCCAGCGCCGGAGCTCCGGGGAGGCGGCGGGGCGCAGCGGGCGGGAGGAGGACGAGGAGAGCGTGGCCTCCGAGGCCAGCTCCTTCTCGAACTTCTGCAGCAGGAACAAGGACAAGCTCACGGCCCTCGAGCGCTGGAAGGTCAAGAGAATCCAGTTTGGATTCCACAAACGAGACGCGGACGCCGGAAGCCGCGACCTCGAGCCGGGGGCCGAGGCGGCCGAGGGCGAGAAGCAGCCCCAGGACGTGGACCTGACCGCCTACCAGGCCTGGAAGCTGAGGCACCAGAAGGAGCCGGGCGCTGCCATCCAGGAGGAGGTGGTGGAGCTCGGCCACGGGGAGGACTCCGCCTTGGCCAAGAAGCGGCAGCGGCGGCTGGAGCTGCTGGAGCGGAGCCGGCGGACGCTGGAGGAGAGCCGGTCGGCGGGGAGCTGGGAGGCCGGCAGCTCGGCCGCCAGCGCGAGCATCCCTCTGGCTGCGCTCCGGTCCGCAGCCTCCTGGGTCGGGGCCGAGGGGGACGCGGCGTCCGGACTCAGCCTCCCGACCACGAGCCTCCGCTCCCACCTGACTCAGGCGGGGAGCGACCGAGGGGGCTGCGCCTCCCCGCACCCCGCCACCCCGCTGCCTAACTTGCCAGTGGGGCCCGGGGACACCATTTCCCTGGCCAGCATCCAGCACTGGATTGCCGACGTGGTCAGCGAGACCCTGGCCCAGAAGCAGAACGAGCTGCTGCTGTTGTCGCGCCCCCAGTCCGTGGCAGACCGCTGCTTCGGGGATGACCGCGCCTCCGTGCTCAGCGGACCCAGCAGCTCCTCCCTGGGGGGCTGCCCGCGGCCCCCCAGCCAGCCGGGCCCCGGCTCCGGGGCGCAGTCGGTGCTGTCCAACGCCACGTGGAGCTCCAGGCCCGAGCGCCCGGCGGGTCAGGTGAAGGAGGCCAGTACGCCTGTCTACAGCCTCTTTGCCGACCAGGTGGACCTGAAGGAGCTTGGCCGGAAGGAAAAGGAGCTGCGAATGGAACTCCGGGAGAAGATGTCCGGGTACAGAATGGAGAAACTGGCCGCCGACAACAAACGCAGCACTCTGTTCAAGAAGAAGAAGGTCAAGGAAGAAGACGAGGAGGATGACGTGGGTGACCGCGAGGACGACGCGGACAGCGCCATCGGGAGCTTCCGATACTCGTCCCAAAGTAATTCCCAAAAACCTGACACGGACACCTCCTCCTCCCTGGGTGTCTCGGGTTGCTATAGAAGCCACAGCAGGGCTGACCGAGAAATGGATCGAAGCATCAATAAGTGGCTCAGTGGCCTCAAAACCGAGGAGAGATCTCCGCCCCAAAGCGAGTGGTCTGGAAGCTCCAGAGGGAAGCACGCCAGGTCTTCCCTGCTCCAGGAGACAGAGACTAAACGCTCCAGCTACAAATTTTCCAAGTCGCACTCGGGGGAACAGGACACCTCCTCCTACGACGAGGCCAACGGCAAGTCTGTCCGGAGCACTTGCCGATTCTCTTCTTCCTGCACCCGGGAGGGCAGCGAGACGCACACGGTCTCCAGGTCTAAGTTCAGTGAGACCGCGAGCTCCCGAGAGGAAAGCCCGGAGCCCTACTTCTTCTGCCCGACGCCCGAGCCCTCGGAAGGGGACGAGTCCCCCGGGCCGCGCCGCCAACACTGGACCAGGCCCGGAGACTGGCAAGATGTGGAAGATTCATCCAAATCCGACTTCTCTGAATTTGGAGCCAAGAGGAAGTTCACGCAGAGCTTCATGAGGTCTGAAGAGGATGGGGAGAGAGAGAGAAGGGAAAACAGAGAAGAAGGGAGGTTTGCATCGGGGCGGAGGTCCCAGTATCACAGAAGCGCTGACGGAGAAGAAGAGGAAGAGATGGATGACGAAGCCATCATTGCTGCTTGGCGGCGTCGGCAGGAAGAAACGCGGACTAAGCTGCAGAGAAGGAGGGAGGATTAGGGTGCGCAAAGCAGAGCTGGGAGGGAAAGAGAAAGCAGGAAGGGTCCCGCAGTTTAGCCCAGATCTCACCCACTCATCGAGGTCATTGGCATCCTGTTTGAATGTTGGGCTGTCTGGCCCCGTTTGCCTATTGCACGATGGCCCCTAAGATGTGGGGCCTCACTTAACGTATTCGGTAGTGTTCCTCATAGACGAGAGAGGTGAGCTTGAAAGATTGGCGTGGGCAAACTCCAGCTTACATCCAAAAAAAGGACGCAGGCCGTGCTTCTGTTTGTGGAATGTCCCGGTTTTGCCATGACACCCGGCGCATCTCCTGTGGCCAGTTCAACCTCCGCCGACAACGCTGCATTCTGGTTGCTTCTTTGTAATGCTTTGGATCTCCATTAAATTCGTATACTGTCCAATATTTCTTTTTTTCATTTCTTGTAGCTTTTAACTCTTTGGAAACTAGGGGAAATTCCCTTTAGATGGGTTGCCATGAGCCCACCTACTCTTGTTCGACACAAAGCTATGCCCAGATAATACCACCATCATCTCATTATCAAAAATAAGTCGAGTATTTTGGCTATGGCAAAATGCAGTGGGAGATTTTAATACTAAAACCCTTGAGAGCAGCAGAGGGTACTAAAGAAAGAGGAGGTATTTTATTAGGGTGACAGTAGCAAGACGTTTGAGAGAGAATAACTCTGGAATGGCAGAAAAATAAAGATCATGGTGGAGAGAAAATGTCCAGTACCAGGCAACCGAGGTGTATATTTATAAAATCTGGTGGTCATTTCTTTATATATATATATCATTTTATTAGGGGCTCATACAACTCTTATCACAATCCATACATACATCAATTGTGTGAAGCACATTTGTACATTTGTTGCCCTCATCATTCTCAAAACATTTGCTGTCCACTTAAGCCCCTGGCATCAGCTCCTCATTTTTTCCCCT